GTTGGGGTTTTTCAGAGGTGGTAGTTCTAGAGTATGTGATGCGATGCTGGGATTAAGTGTGTGATGCTGTCATTAAGGGAGCATGATTACTAAATTAGACCACTGATTGGTTTGGCATAGTTCTGAGTGTAGAAAATGGGAAAGCCCCACCTTGGAGGTGAGTGCTTCCTGCCCTAAGGGTGTGTAGCCTGGATGGAATATAAGTGATTGAAAGAAGGCTGCTTCTGTCTCTTGCTGCTGCTGCTTCCCAACTTCTTTACTTTGCTACCTTCTGCCTGCCATGAGCCCTTTTTTCTCTGTGATGCCCCTCTGCCATGCCACCCTGCCTTGGAACCAGCCAACTATGAATTAAAACCTCTACAAACTGTGAACTAAATAAATCTTTCCTCCTTTAACTTTGGGTGTAGGGTGTTTTGTCTCAGCAATGAGAGAAAAGTAATTAAGACAGAATTTGGTACTGGGAGTGGGGTCGTTGCTGTGACATTACCTGGCCATGTAGTTCAGGAGACTGTGAAACTGTCTTGTGGGAAGAGTTTGGAAAGGTTTGGAGAAGCCTTAAACTGTACTTGATGGGAGATTCTAGTCAGAGCTCAGAAGACTAGAATGCTGATAGAAATACTTACCTGTAGTAAAGACCAGGCTCAGGAGGTTTCTGCTGGAGGAAGAAAGACTGCATTGGCTGTTGGATTCCAGACAATGTATGTTATGCATTGGGAGAAAGTTTGTCTACATTTTGCTCATGTTCAAAGACTGTCTGAGACTGAGATTAAGGGTGGTGGCTAATTAATCTTGCAGAAGAAATTTCAAGACAGTCTAATGTGGAGGCAGTGGAATGGCTACTGTTGGGTGCTTTTAGCCAGACCTGTCTTGAGAAGTCAGACCAAAGAGTCCAGCAGAATGATTTAAAACGCTGTGAGTTTGGCCAGTAAGGAAGCTCCACTAAAGCTATGGAATGCAAAGATAAAGTAGAGGTGAATTTGGTTGTTGAGAAGGAAGAGGACCATAGAAAAGATAGCCTGAGGACATCACAAGACGCAGCAGGACTCCAGCCCTTGGAGTCTCAAAATTGCAAAGGTGAAATACTTTACTTTGAGAAGCGAGCAGCAGAGCACCGTGTTCCAGAATGGCAGCAACCTAAAGAATTTGTTCCTGGGGATTGAGTGCAGAGTGCTCAGCATTCCAGGCACTTGACCCCTATAGCCAAGAGAAAAGGAAGCCTGGCTACTGTTCCATCTGTCAGCAGACCTTGGCATCATCCAAATGGTGCTGATTTTAGGTGCATGTAGAATGCAGGAGTTGTAAGGTCAGGAAGGCTTCCACACAGATTTCAGAAGACCTGGGAGGCCAGGCAATGTGCCGAGAGGACAGTGTGTGAAGGAAGCTGTGAGTGTGAAGCCAAAGGTGCAGTGGAGACCCCAGAAGTTTGGAGAAGCCATGAATGTGGATCATCTGAGGACAGCTGCAAGGCATGAGCAATGCTGGCCCAAGAGAGAAACCATGAGAGCTGCAACCACATGCAGTGTTGTATAGGTGAAGCCACCCAAACCCTTTGGTGTTCACATTTTGCTACAGATTGCCTCAAATGCTAGACATGGAACTATAGGATTTAATGTTTGCCCTGCTGGATTTGGATTTGCTTTGGTCCCATTCCCTTTATCCCCCTAATTGGAATGGAAATGTTTATCTTGTGCCATTGTATGTTGGAAGTGTTTAACTTTCTTTTCATTTGTACAGGGGTTTGAAGCTAAGAGTTTACCTTAAATCTTAGAAGAGACTTTAGACTTGGACTTTTCAGCAATGCTGAAACTGTTAGGATTTTGGCAACTCTTGGAAATGGACTGAGTGCCTTTTGCATAAGGGGATATGCATGAGTCTGTGGGGGCCGGGGGGCAGAATGTTATGGCTTGTGTCTAGATGTCCCCTCAAAGCCTCATGCATTCATAGGTGGGGCTTTTCATAGGTGACTGGATCTAGAGTGTGTGATGCTGGGATTAAATGTGTGATGGTGGAATTAAGTATGTGATGCTGTCATTAATTAAGGGTGTGTGATTAGTAAATTAGTCCACTGATTGGTTTGGCATAGTTCTGGGTGTGGATAAGGGGAAGGCCCACCCAGAGTGTGAGTGCTACCCGCCCTAAGGCAGGTAGCTTGGATAGACTATAAGGGACAGAAAGAGGGCTGCTGCTGTCACTTGCTGCTGCTCCTGCTTTGCTACCTCACTGCTTTTTTTGCCTTCTGCCTACCATGAACTGTTTCTCCTCTATGGTGCCCCTCTCCCATGCCAACCTGGCTCAGAGCTAGCCAACTATGTCAACTTCAGTTTCAGCCAATTGAAACCTCTACAAACTGTGAGCTAAATAAATCTTTCCTCGTTTAACTTTGGGTGTTGGGTATTTTGTCTCAGCAATGAGAAAAGTTAAGACAGACATCATCTTTTCTTAGGTTTAAATTTAGGAAAATAAGTCTTAGCTAGTTAACCTATGTGTCTGTTTAAAGTTTTGGTTATGTGAACTACTATTATATGTGATATACCTTATTTTTTAAAATGCCACTGTCCTGGTATACTATAGTCAGTTATGATTGTTAATCTTAATATGCTGAAAAAGCAACTGAATTGTTTTTGCCTTTCTGCTTTGTTTATTGCTAATAGTCAATTATTGCTAATAGTCAACTGGCAAGAATTATACTCTTTTTGGGGGTGGGGTACTGGGGATTGAACTCGGGTCCTTGCACTTGTGCAGCAGGCAGTGAAAGCACTGAGCTAAAATCCCTGGCCCTAAGAGTTATTCTCTTCTTGCTCAATAATGTATGGTGATTAGCCCTGAGTTTGCCTAATCTCACCCCCTTCAAGATTGACAACACCAGAATGAACAATTTCCAAGGACATCCAGCTGTGCTTGCGAAGTCTCTAGCCATTGTCCTAAACTTTAAGTCACCTGGGAATAAAACATCCCCAGGTATAAAGATTCTAGAACTATGGTACCAGGACTGAGATAATGATCAGCTAACCCCCACCTCAACAGCTGATCATTAAAAGCTGGCCTCTTGCTTTTGTGGGTGGATAAGTGTGAATCCGTGTATAAGAGTGTGCCCCTTCCAGCTACCTAAGCTGGAGTCCTTTTTTACCTTTCCTCTTAACTTTCTGGATTAAAACTTTTTCAGTAAATTTCTCCTTTAATTTTAATTTCTATTTTTAGTAAAAGCAAGGATCCAAACTATCCTAAACATTTATTCCCAAGATCCTTTGATAAAATCCTGTAGAAATTAAATAATAAAAATTTACCATTTCCATATGACATCATACTTTTTTGTTCCTCTGAAATCTTTTGTGCTTATAGCAACAAGGCTGAGTTTTTCATTTGTTTTTTGGTACTGGGGATCGAATTCAGGACCTTGTGCTTTCAAGGCAGGCGACACGGCACGACTAAGCTAAATCCCCGGCACAAGGCTGAGATTATTACTTTAGGGGTCTTCCATGAGTTCATATTCTCAAAGGAGAAGAATCAGCAGCTTTGGTGCTTGAATGTGAAACCAAATCTTGCTGAATTCCGCTAGGGCTCTCTTGGATTGGTAAGGGCTTTAACTTTTCTTAAGAGATTCTTGATGATAAGGGTTCTGCTTTAAAATAAAAAAGACCAGTTTATTGTGACACGTTTGAATATGTGCCGCTTCTGAACCTGACTGTATTGCATTTGCCCTTCACTTCTTTTTCTCCAGAATGATTTTAAAAGTATACACTCAAAGATACCCTCACCATCTTAGCTTTTGTTAAGTAGGGCTCTACTTGACTGAACAGATGTTATCCCTGGAATATAATTTCAGAGTAGAGGTATGGTGACTGCTTATTCAAGCTCATGTAAACTGAGACCTGATTACCTTTCCACTTGCTGTGTGGGGGAAAGATTCTGTTCCTAGAGGAGCTCATCTTTTCATCTCTGGGAGACAAATGAGTTTGGGAAATGTCTCAGATTAGAGTCTTTGACAAAATGAATTGTTATATGAAGAACTAAGGTTTAGTAACCGCTCATACAAATTAGAGAAGAATCTAAACTTTAGAATTAAAAAAACATATTGGGTGGGCCAGGGATTTAGCTCAGTAGTTTCGCCGCCTGCTGCTCAAGTGCAAGGACCCGAGTTCGATCCCCGGTACCAAAAAAACAAAAACAAACAAAACATATTGGGTAATCATTTTATGAAAAAATACAGAATTAGGAAAATGGAGCTCCCCATTAAAAACTGGCATAACACATCCTCAAGGTAACCAGTAAAGGACAAGTCTGGGTGCAGTGGGGAGAACTTCAAGTACCTGTCATCAAAGCTATCTAGAAAAAGTTGTCTGACTGATATTTTGTCATATTCAGATTTACTCAGTGCTTTTTACTTCATAATGAAAATATAGATATTATTTGTAATACCTAGAACTGTGGAGATAGACTGAATTAATAGAAAAATTACAGATTTCCCTTTAAGATAAATTATCATAGAAGGTAAGCTCAGAATACTGAAATGCTGCTAGAATAAATTAACCATTTCACTTCAGAAAGTTTTCAGTGTTTGCATCCTTGACTTCAGAGTTGGTCACACTTGGATGTTCTGAATGATAGAGAAGCGAGGTTTTTTTGTTTTGTTTTGTTTTTAAACTGCTTAATTTCACATTTGTTTAGTGATATTTCCAAAGTGATTGTTCTGTTTTACAAAATTGCAGTCTTTTTATTGGATCCAACATCAAGTTGGGCATGGTGGCACACACCTGTAATACCAGCACTTGGGAGGCTGAGGCAGGAAGATCACTGTGAGTTTGAGGCCAGCCTTGGCTATATAATGAGTTGAAGACCAGCCTAAACTACCTAGTAAGACCCTGCCTCAAAAAGCAGAAAAGAAAAAGAAATATACTCCATCAGTCCTGGCTTACTATGTTTTTGATACTTGTCTCTTATAAAGAGAAGTTGACATCTCTGTACAACTTACCTTCATCTTTGTTTCTTTTTCTCTCTAACAGAATCCCAAGGACTGCAGCAAAGCCAAAAAGCTGGTGTGTAACATCAACAAAGGCTGTGGCTATGGCTGTCAACTCCATCATGTGGTCTATTGCTTCATGATTGCATATGGCACCCAGCGAACACTCATCTTGGAATCTCAGAACTGGCGCTATGCTACTGGTGGATGGGAGACAGTGTTTAGACCTGTGAGTGAGACGTGCACAGACAGATCTGGAGTCTCCAGTGGACACTGGTCAGGTAGGGAGCTTGTGCCGCCTGTCAGATCTCTGACATGAACAGGTTATTAGATTTTTAGGAGCAGTTTCATGGATCATAATCATCTTTTCTTTTGGATCCAGGTATGCTATATGGTATCCAAATAATATGTAGAAAAACAGTATTGTATTTTAAAAAATATTTTATGGTCTGTTTCATTTCTGATGTTTATTTGTATTTGGATTTTACAAAATCACTGAACTTTTTCAAGGAGCATAACAGTCTTTTAACAAGTGATACGGCTTTCACTTTCTAGGGTGCTTTCAAGTATTGAATTCATTTGATCCCTATAAATTGATATATTGTATAAAATTTTATACATTGTATATATTATTTTGTGCAACATATGATTTACTTATAAATTTTCACATTGTATAAAGTAGACTTGTGGGTCTCAAATATTAGCATACCTGGAAGACTTTCTGATTCAGAAAGTCTGGAGTAGGGCTAAGTGTTGGGAGCAATGCTACATAATTCTAGGGAAAAATCATTTGAGTAGGCCTAGTTCTCCAGCCTACAGCCCAGCTATGACATTCCAGACATAATTGCATTTTGGCCTCCGGTCACAACTGAGACCTCAGTGATCCCGAGATGCTGTAATCTCCAGGACAAGACCGCACCTGGGGGATGCCAGGGAGGAACCAAATCTTCATCTGCATAGTTCCTCATTGTTCTTAGATTTCCACTGCCCCCCAGCCTTTTGTTACACCTTGTTTATCCCAATGTGAAGTACTGAATTCTGCATTTCACTTGTTACATTTGTTTCCCCCTGTACTGAATAAAAGGTGCTGCAAGCTAGGGGTTTTTTGTCTTTGCTGCCCAGAGCAGCACTGATCAGACCCAAAGCTCAGCTTCTTCTCATTTGTCTACCTTTCCTGTAATTCGCCGTGTGCTGCCTTGACTCACAGGAGACTAGGACTTACTGCAGAGGTTCTGGTAACATCCCCTTCCCCTGTTCCCTACAGCTAAGAATTTGCATTTCTGACAAAATTTCCAGATTTTGGAACCACATTTTGAGAATCATTAAGGTAGACTATACAAGTAACTTTATCTCCGCTTTGTAGTTGGATACAGTGAAGCCTAATTTGTTGGTTGTTTGGTGTTTTGTTTTGTTTTGTTTTCCCAAATTGGAGATTGAATGCTGAGCCTCCTGTACTGAGCTAAGCCCTAGTCCATTTTATTATTTTGCTAAGTCCCTGTATTGCCTAGTCTGGGCTGTAACTTGCCACGTTGCTCCCTCAGCCTCCCAGAATGCTAAGATTACAAGTCTGTGCCATCATATTCAGCTTGTCTCACTTTTATGTGATTTTAATTTTATTCAGGAAACATATCATGAAGAATAAAATGAATTAAGATGCTATCATAGGCATTCTAAAAAGATAAAAAAATTATTCTTTCTCTCCAAGAAGGTACTAGACTAGTGTTACTACTGATCTACGTTTTTTTTTAGCCCCCTACATTCATGCTCTTTAAATAAGGTATAAAGTTGGGCTATCTTCTTTTTAAAATCTTTGTTTTATCATTTTTGTAATATTAGGGAAATTACTTAATCCAGGCCTCAGTTTTCTTCTCAGTAAAATGAGGAATAATAACTTACTTCATTGAACCATTCATAGCATTAAATAATAAATGGAATATACTTAGCACACGATATAAGAGCTTTAGTAATTGTTAGCTACATTAATACCCTTTATTTATTGAGCAAATATATAAAGAGTCCTTACAGTGTGGCAGATACTGAACTAAGTGGCTAGCATCAGTGCTAAACAGGACAGTGCACTGTTTCTGCATTTACATCTTGTGGGATGTCAAATGTTTAAAAAGCTGGTTGACATGTATGTGGGTTTTTTGGAGTTTTGTTTTGTTTTCCATCCTTAGCAAAAAAAAAGTAGTACCCGACTATTCACAGAAGTATCATGAAAATTAATTGGGTAATTTTTTAAAAAATATTTTGAGTTGCTCTATAAAAGAGTCCATATGGATTAAAAGTATTATCTTGTAATATGATTTTGTCATCTATAAGATGATGTATTATCCTTATTCCACATATCAACATATTTTTATGAGTCACTTCATATTTTAAAATGAACTGCTTAATCTAGAACCTCACTGAGTTTTAGTTTTAAGGTTATATCTTCCTAGTCTGTATTTTTTCAATAGTACTGGCTGATAAGATATAAAAATTAAGAAGATACTGTACTAAATTTATCAACCAAAAAAAGAAACTCTGCCATGCTTGCTGTGAGCTAATGTTTTTCATTTCAAGGACCTAGTTCAGTTTTAAGTTTCATGATTGTGAAAATTTATAGCCAAAATAGGGCATAGTCCTGTATTTCCCTGATTCTACAGAAAGGCAACTTTTTCTCTCCAATACTGGGGATTGAATCCAGGACCCTTGCACTGAGTTACATCCCTAGCCCTTTGTTTATTTTGAGACAGGATCTCACTAAGTCCCTAAGTGTCCATGCTGGACTCAAACTTGGCATCCTCCTGCCTCAGCTGCCAGAGTGCTGGGATTGCAAATGTGTACCACCACACCAAGTGAGAGCCAATTTTTTGAATAGTAGTCAATTAATAGAAAAGTGAAAAGATACCCTCCTTAGATTTATAAGTTTTAGTATACAGTTTGGTTCTGCCTATATGCAACAAGATTTGGTTTATTTGATTGTTTAATCCTTTATATATTTTATAGTCCATAGTAGCAACCACATGATGTGGAAGTTAAAAATTAATTTCAAACATTCAAAATTTCTTTTTCTTTCTTTTTTTTTGTTGTTGTTGTGGCTTTTTTTGTTGTTGTTAAATTCTTTTATTGGTACGTTTTAGGTATACAACACAATTACATTTCTCATTGGGAATTGTACCTTTACATAATGCATCTTGGTTCTTATTTCTTCCCCATCCCTAGCCCTCCCTTCACCCCCTCCACCCTTCCCTATTTACAAAGACTTTATTTCCATTTTTCCATTTCTCATCATTTTTCCTTTCCCTTCTTTCCTTTCCCCTGCCCCTCCCACTACCCCTACCCCTTTGAACCTTTTCTTCCTATTTTGCATTATCGATTATTCATTCTAATCATTGGTACATTTTAGGTATACAATATAATGACATTCATCATTGGAAATTTGCACCTTTACATAGTCTCTCTTGGTTCTTATTTTTCACCCTTGCCCAGCCCTCCCTTCAACCTCTCCTTTCCTCCCTATTTACAAAGATTTTGTTCCTATTTTTCCATTTTCTCATATTAATCCCATTCCCTTCTATCCTTTCCCCTAGCCCTCCCACTTCCTTCCCCTTTGCCCCTTTTCTTCCTATTTCACATCACCTATTATACATTTTAGTCCTTATTTATACTTTCAGTTTCTCACACCAGAGAAACTATTCGGTATTTATACATGTGTGTCCTATTTATTTCACTTAAGAGTATTGCCTCAATGTGCATCCACTTAGCTGGCGGGGCTGTGGGGAAAGAGGAACACTGCTCCACTGCTGGTGGGAGTGTAGGCTGGTACAACCACTATGGAAATCAGTATGGAGATACCTCAAAGAACTAGGACTGGAAGTCCCATTTGACCCCGCTATTCCACTGCTGGGGATCTTCCCCAAAGAATTAAAAGAATCATACCACAGTGATATATGTGCGCCCATGTTCATAGCGGCACAGTTTGTGATAGCTAAAACTTGGAAACAGCCCAAATGCCCATCAACTGGAGACTGGATAAAGAAAATGTGATTTTTTTATAAAATGGAGTACTACTCAGCCGTAAAAAATGAGAAATCAAACATTCAAAATTTCATAATGTTACAAATAGGAGCTAGGAATCATCTTTTACTTATCCTTTGCTTATCGGGAATCCAAGATGTAGTTAAGGCTAAATAATTTTTTCAGGGTCATAAAGTTTGTATAAATGACAGAACTTTAGTGAATGCATTTACTTCTACCTATTTCTAGTCTAGATCCTTCCCAGTAAACTCATGCCAAATACCTTATCCTACCTAAACAAGGATTAGAGGCATAGAAACTGCCTGGAATGTCTAGAAACTAAATAAAATAATTTTAATATTTCTGCCCCTCTTCTTTCCCATATGCTGTAACTTATTCCAAACTTTCCATACAATTTTCAGTATTGAAGAGTCATCAATTATATTTTCTCAGTCATTTGCACTTCCTGATCAAAGAATTCATTTTATCATGGTCAACAGAATTATAATTTTAATTTAATAGATCTTTTCTTTATTACCATAGGTATTATGTAAAATATATTTTTCTTCATGCTAATGAATTGGATTGAACTGAATTGAATCAAATTAAAAGATACTTTTAATTAAGCTAGTTTTTTTGGTTTTTTTGATACAGGGTCTCACTGTATAGTTCAGGATGGCCTTGAACTTACTATGTAGACCAGGCTGACGTCAAACTCATAGGAATCCTCTTGCCTTAGCCTCCCAAGTGCTGAGATTAGAGGCATGTGCCACCGTACTTGGTATCTAGTGATTATTTTTAACATGCTTGCAGAACTCACTGTAACTAAGATAATTTAGATAATAATCTTATATCCAACAGAAGATATTTATGTTTGAACTTGGAATAGTTTTGTTTTTATAAAAAGTATAGTTGCCATCCATTTATGGTTCCATATATCTTTTGGAGAAACTGATTAGCAGGTTTCCAAGAATTAGAGGAAGCAAAGTGAATTCGAATAAGCTCCTAGACATTAATCCTTTAGGTAGCTATATGTCAGTTACATCTGTTGTTCTGACTTGTACAAAGAATCTTGGACCAGATGAGGTAGGACACATCTATAATTTCAAGTGAGACAGAATCACCTGGGCAACTTAGCAAGATACTGTCTCAAAATAAAAACAAATTTTAAAAAGAATCTTGAGATATTTTGTTTGGCATCTCTTCCATGCAATTATTATTGTTCATATACACTTGACAAGATAGGTCTGTGGGTAGAATTTCATGATCCCTGTGTCAC